TGTACCTGGTCTTCAAGTACCTCAACAAGGAGTATCTGAACGCTCTCTTCACCGCATACTTTTCCGCCCTCGGCGTGGGCGCCGTCTGGCAGGCCGGCATGCAGATCAGCAGGAAAGTCAGTGGCCTCAAGCTCAAGGGCGACTACCGCGTGGACCTCTGGAAGAAGAAGAAGGGTGAGGAAAGAGAGAGCACGGTGCTTTTACCAGCGTGCTGTGGTCGATGTGTACTCAAAGGAGCTATAAATCCGATCCTTGCAGAAGTGGGGACGTTCCGCTTCGGAGTGTTCCACCTTGCGTTGCTCGTGGTGTCCATCATCATTGGCGGATTCTACGCCATGACAAAGCATTGGATTCTATCCAACATCTACGGAGAGGCCTTCTCCACTTCCGCTATTCAGCTGCTGAACCTCGACTCGTTCAAGACGGGAATGGCGCTTCTTGCGTTCCTGTTCTTTTACGACATCTTCTGGGTGTTTGGTACCGATGTGATGGTCACCGTTGCGAAGGGGTTCGACGCGCCTGTCAAGGTTCTCTGGCCAAAGGATATCATGGCAGTCATCAGCGAAGGACTTTTGTTCAAGTCCGAGGGCGTCGATTTTACGCTACTCGGACTCGGCGACATTGTTATTCCTGGTTCGTCTGCGCTGTGTATTGATTTCATAGTTTGCGCACACTTACGTCCACACATCATTTCAGGCATCTTCGTGGCTCTCTGCTTGAAGTTTGACCACGCACAATATCTCGCCTCGCCAGCTGGAAAGAAAAACCCGCGTGCCCGGTCCTTCCCGCAACCGTACTTCGTCACCTGCTTCATAGCTTACGTACTCGGTCTGGTCACTACTGTCGTCGTCATGCATAACTTTCAGTCTGCACAGGTAAACCGCGAAAAATGCTTGTTCACCCCTGCCATCTGCGATTCCTAAATCTTGTCGCTCCCTCTAGCCTGCGCTCTTGTACCTGTCCCCAGCGTGCATCCTTTCGGTCCTTCTCACTGGAGCGGTCCGGGGAGAACTCAAGCAAGTATTCGCATTCGCGCCGGCCGAGTCCAGCTCGTCGACCTCATCTGTCAAGAAGGAGACGAAGGCAGCTGTTGCGGCGGCCAAAAAAGCCGCAAACGATACCGTCAAGACCGTCAAGACCCGCGCAAAGACCGCGGCCGCAGCGGCTGCGCTCCTGGCGACCGGAGACGAGGACGAGGAAACCATCACGTCTGGTGGAGACGAAGTGACGACCACACAGAGGCGGAGTCCGAGAAAAACAAAGAAGAGTGCAAAGTCGCAATGATAGAGGGAATGATGCAATTGGTGTTTCGCGACACAGTCATCAACATAAAAAAACATCTACATTTTTGGAAAGACCCCATCCCCGGCACCTTTCGACCCCGCTTCTGCGCTAGAAAGCGGAATGGAATGATGGGGGAAATGGGCTGCGTCTTTTCTATCTGAGAGTTTACGCGTGGAACAGGTAATGTTAACTTTTTGCTACGTCGAGTCGGCAGCTGGCTTGCCTTGCCGCACATCCTCTCGCCTTTTCTGGTACGGTCGGCGAATCGACGGATGCGGTCTCGAAACGATGGAACGGATCACGCGGGGAAGGCTGTCGGGACATTCCCGTGCGTCCGCGTCGCATCATTCGATTTACGGCCACGACAAATGTCTGTACCGAAGCAAGGGAAGCCGCTCGATCAGCCAGCAGCAACTTTCTTTGGGTCAAGAACTTCGGGTGCCCACTCACCAGCGCAAACGTCATCGTCAGTGCACTCGCACTCGCAGCGACACGATACACGATGGTTTGCATCCCACCGTCGCTCTTGAACCCCCAATACGAGCCAACGTACAGTCCGCAGCACACCCAGCTCACACCCGCCAACCCCACCAACGCGACGAGCACCCTCCTCCGTTGCCTCCTCCCCGTCTCCTCCCGTCTCCTCCTCCTCCTCCTCCTCGTCGTTGTGGTCGTCCTCGTCCTCCTCCTCGGGGGCGGCGCGACCACGGCCACGGACGACGACGACACGGAGGACGATCCGCTCGTCATCTCGTACGTCCAGTCGTCGTCGTCGTCGTCGTCGATGTCGTCGATGTCGTCCATGTCCTGCAGGTTCGGACCGCTCTCGGCCGAGATGGCGGCCTGCAGGTCCGAGAGCTTGTACAGGAAGATGCAGGACAGTATCTGATCGGTCAGGAGGGTGTAGGCGGACCACGTCGCGGCCGCGATGGTGGACTGCTTCGTCGTCCCTTTGTAGGTGAGGATGTTCCATGTGAGCATCGTCACCGTCAGGACGAGGAGGGTGAAGACTATGAATGCGTAGTCCTGCGCGTGATTGATGATGGGGTTGGTCAGGCGCTTCTCCGTACGTGTGAGTCGGCAGAATGGGACAGCAAACTCACGAGCTTGGTGGACCAAGGCATGCTGCTCTTCAGCACCCGAAACCTCCACTGAATGATGAGGAGGTAGAGACACGACGAGGAAGCTGCAATCAGAAAAACAAGAAAAGAAAAGAAACCCGTAAGTCCCAGCAACCGATCATTGTAGCGAAGCGGGACGTTTAGTAAATATAAAACAAACCAAAGAGGATCGAATACAGCTGCTGAATCCTCATCATGACCACCTTCAATCCCCAATCGTACTCCAGTCTGTTCACGGGCGTATCCTCCACGCGATCCAGGATCATGAGATACTCCCTGCTCCTGGTCCCGGAGACCAACGTCTGCACTCCCAGGAGCGCCTGGGATCCGGTGTAAATGATGGCTGCGACGAGAAGCATCCCGTTGTAGCGGTTGGGTCGACGACGGAGGTAGATGAGCGCGTATCCGACGTTGGCCAGCATGATGGACGTTCCGATGGAAGCGATCAGGAGCTCGACGAGGTACTGCGTGTGGTTGGAGAGACTGGCGGGGTCGGGTCCATAGGGGTCGGGTCGTGGTAGTGGTGGCGGTGATGGAGGTGCGGGTGGCATTTGTCGGATAGCTACGCAGGAGGAACCTGGAATGTTATCGCAGACAAGACTGCAAGGGAAGCGACGGGACGAGGCAGGGAGCAGCGAAAAAAACAAAACGATTCGTCGGTCATGACATGAGAGAAGGACAGGAGAGGGAGAGAGAGGGCACGAGAGGGGCTGCGTGGTGTGTGACTCGCACCAGGAGTTGTTCGTTGTTGTCGATGTTGGCCGCTTTCGACTGCGTACATGGACACATGTGCTGCACACGTACATGGCTCCCGTCCGAACATTCCGGACATGACCGCTTGTGGCTGGTGAGTTGATATGACATCTGTTCCTGCTGTCGAAACCAGGGGGACCGAAACGCCGCTTGCACCGTTTTGCGCTCTCGTCTCTCGTTGGTTGGCTGCTATCCAAGAGGTACACGCATGTTCATAGGTTCCCCTCAACTGGCAAGTTTTTGCATACGTCGTACCCATCGCTGGTCCCCGCACGAGTTCTGCACCTGACATCCGCATTCTTCTTTTGTGGGTCCGGAAAAGAGGCGAAGGAAAATTCTATGACTGCGAAACCAGGTGAATCATACATTGTCCAATTGCCAACCATGGAAGCGTCAAGCTTCAGGATCCCATCCCATCCTGCATCCATCAGGTATGGAACATCTTGGCCGCTCGCAATGTGCTTAAAAGGATGCAAGGCAAGCAGGCCTCCCTCTATCTCTCGTCAGTCAGCATTCCGCATCAAACTCTCCCGCCTGCGTCAAAACCCCACCCACACGCTCTATCATGTTTTCCTTCAGCAAGTTCTGCCTCGTTGCAACCCTCGCCGTTTCCGTTGCGGCAAGCCCCGTCCTCGTCGACCGCGCGGACGCTTCGGTCATTTTGACCGGGCAATGGGACACGCACGTTGTCACGAACAAGAACTATGTCATTGAAAACAACCTCTGGGGTGCGAAATCTCCCGGAGTTACCGGCTGGCAGACCACGACAGTCGACACCACTTCCAGCGACGTCGTATGGTCCACCAGTTATCAGTGGGCCGGCAACAACAACGGCGTCAAGTCATACGCAAATGCCGCCCGAGCCACTAATCTTGGACAGCAGTTGTCCTCCATCACCTCGATCCCAACCCAATGGAAGTGGCACTACCCATCTGCCTCCTCGAACCTCGTCGCTGACGTCTCCTGGGACCTCTGGCTCTCCCCCGAAGCGAACGGCTCTGGCGCATCGCCCAGCTCCTCCTACGAGATCATGATCTGGCTCTCGGCCCGCGGAGGTGCCGGCCCAGCTGGTTCTCAGGTCGCCACCGCTCATATTCATGGTGCCCAATGGAAGCTCTTTAAGGGCACCGTCTCCACCTGGACCGTCTACAGCTTCGTCGCTCCCGAGGAGTACCAGAACTACAAGGGAAACCTCCTGCCGTTCTTCACCTACCTCATCCAGAGCCAGGGACTGCCCAGCAACCACTACTTTGTCCAGGCTCAGGCGGGAACTGAGCCTTTCGTCGGTAGCGCCACCTTGCAGACGACTTCCTACAGCATGAACGTGCACCACAAGTAGATTGGGATGGACTTCGCCCATCTTCCCTTCCCATTCCCACCGGACATCGTCCCTCTTACTCCCTCTTGTTCATAAAGAATCCTTACACATAGAAAAAGTCATAGAACGCGTAGATTGCTGGCTCAATAAAGATCCTGTTTGCTTGTTTCACACATTGCTACCTTTATCCCATGAGTGCTGTCCAAACAGGCAAACGAAAGGCCATGTGGCTGTGCACTTCCCGGAACCGAAAAACTACTTCGCACGGAATCCCATGCACAGTTGAACGTCAAGGTGCGGCACGGCACATCCGCAGATGATGTCTATACAAGAACAAGCCAACTCAGTGCGCTGCTTCCCTCAGACGACCGAGTTCGCACTTGGGATGCCGCCAGTGCGTGGATTTGACCTCCCGGGCTTTCGACAGGGCCAACATCCCAAAATCTGCATAAAAATTCTCAACGTAGAACCCTTAAAACCGATTCCAACGCAACATCTTGCTTGTTGCCACGGTCTGAAATCAGTCAGACGGCCGAGAATCGAACTCGGGGCTACCGCAAGTTGAAAAATGGCAAGCGGTAATTTTGCCACTAAACCACCGTCTGGGACGTGGTTTCGAGGTGCGATGCGCGGTCATATTCCCTTCGCCGGACCCTACGATGGCTCATTTGCTTTCGCACGTTTCTCCTTAGGACCGCGGAGAATCCTAGTTCGCTGCTGGCCGTTTTCCAAAGGAGGCTCGTACCAGCAATGCAATCCGAGGTCTGGCACGACCAGCGCTGTCTCTTACGTCGCCATCCTGAAGAAGTGACTTCGACGGTAGACAGCAATGCGGCGGCGGTATCATCATCTGGCTGGCGCACTTCAGAGCTTCCACCTCTTGCCCGGGGTTACCTGTTGCCCTCTTGCCCGAGGTTGAATGCCGATGTTGCGACATGATAGGCACATTGAGACTTCCTCATCAGATAGTTGAATTTGTATTTAGCGGAGCGGATTCGGGGGAAAAAAGGGTCTCGCGATGGTTCCAAGGTATGTTCGCAGACCAGCCCAGAAGTCCTGGGTGGTCCTCTACTTCGTCTTGATGAATCGCAGCTTCTCTGGAACGTACTGCAGACCAAGAAATAAATAAGAATCAGCAACTGCCCAACCCGAGCGTCAATGTCCATTCTTCTGACCTTGAAGTTGTCCGCGTACGTCTTGACCTTGAACTTTGCCACCTTTGGTTCCTCCACCCAGAACTGGTATCCCTGCCGCAGAGCGAACCTGACCGCATCCTCCTTCGTCGTGAACTCCATGGTGACTCCCTGAACGGCGTCGTGGGAGGACGTCCATCCCATGAGACTGTTCTCCCAACGTTCCTGCTGATCAAAGTCGATCCTCCAGAGGGGTTCCTTCGCCGACCCGGCTTGGACGGCGGACCTGGCGGGACGGAAGATTCGGACGGCGCGAGCCGAGATGAAGGGAGCCGCTCCGCTGCAGGCGTCCGCTTCGAAGATGCTGTTGTCTCCGGACGGGTTTGGGATGATCAGTTGGTGCGTCTCGGATTCGGCCACCGAGCCCGTCACGGGTCGGGTCTCGCCTCGGGTCGTGGCAGTCTGCGTCGTCGTCACCACCGTTCTTCGTGACGCGATGGCGGTGAGGGTAAACCTGGAAGCAAGAGCCGCTCGCATGGATGAGGACATCGTTTGGTTGTGGTCGACTAACGGTCGCTCTGAAAAAGTGAAGGTTCCGTTCGAATGTCTGCTGGAATGTGCAAATGGGGAAAGAGCTAGACCGAACTTTTTGACCCTTCTGACAGAACTGCACCTGGCAAAACCAGCAACAATTGGACCTACCCGTACACTCGCGACAAACGTGTAGCTGCTGATTTGATGATGCTGGTAAGCTGTGATCTGATGAGTTTGAAACGCCACAAGGCCCTCCAATATACTATTCCTTTCGTTTTGTCTATGTGCCGTATGCATACGCCAGTTCCGAAGTCTTGCCCAACTTCTGGCTATACATCTAATGCTGCGAGACCTTGGCATGCTTGTCAAAGTTCTCCTTGTCCACCGCGAACGCCCTCACGACCTCCGCCTCCAAAAAGTGCATGGTGCCAGCCAGCACGAGCGAGTGCAGCGGTCCACCAAAGTCCACCGCTTCCAGATCGGCGAGGGTGCCCGAGACGATCTTCTGATCGACGCACCCTACGCGAGCAAGGCCCACCGCGATCGTGTCCCTCGTGTACGCTTGCGTCGCGTGCGGCGCGGCCTCCGATCGAAGGTCGGCAATCTCGAGAAGTTGGGTGACGGCGGTGTTTATGGTCATGTATCGTGGGGGTTCGTAGATCTTGCGACCGCTGGAAGTTTCGGAACATCGTTGATGAGTACGGGGGTTTTCTTGTCGGCAGAGTTCCGCTAACAAGACACTTACCGCGCGAGATTCTCCATGCTCTGCTCCTTGACCTTGATGTCAAGAAGGCAGAGGGTGTGCAGACCATGGGTGGTGTTCACGGCGACCTTATCGTAGAAACTGTCTGGCTTCCATGAGTCGGTGAAGAATACTAGGGAAATAGTTAGCCCATAGTTGTAGAGCTGCAGGCCGCAACATCCCACAGCATTCATGATGGAAGCATTGTGAATGGGGACAACGGGAATAGAAAGCTCGGTTGCTCGATGTACGAGGTCCGTGTGTGTGGTTGCGCTTGTAGGAGAAAACCATCAAAAGCTGTACTTGATGAGATGTTGACGCTATGCCCATACCCGAATGGATCCCCCACAACCAAAAACGCGACGTTAACCTTGTCCGCATTGGCAAGGATGACATCGGCTTCAGATTCGACCATCTCCCGGTCGGCTATCGTAACAGGGCGGCCATAAAACGCTTCCTGGCGAAGGTAACGACAACGAGTTTCAGAAAAAAGCCCCTCCTCCAGTTGAGCTTTCGTTTGCTGATAGACAGGACTCATCTCCAGCAGCCATTCGCACCTTGCGCAAACACGATACTCACCAGCCGTTCCTTTCCTACAGTCAGAATGCTGGTGTATGCCTCCAGGTAAATGCGTTCGCAGGATTGCACGGCTTCCAGTCCTTTGACGGTGATATCCTTTTCGTCCGACAGACCGAGACCGATAACGAAGAGGACCATCTTGTTGACTTCAAGGTCTTCAGTCGACGGTTCCCAGAGCAAGTGCAGGCGGAATGTGAACGGGGAGGAAAGCAAGGACGAAGGTTCGGTTCGCGGGTTCGCGACACTCGCCAAAAAAATTGAACCTGTCGAGCCCACCCTTTCCTGCCGGCAGCCCACGTTCACGTTCACATCCAGGGCATCCAGGACACGACGAGCTGCGGCGAAAGAGAGCCAGAAGGGAACATCCTCCCCACTGTACATGTAATAGCGGAACACTCATAAATGTTCAGCGAGGAAGTTGTGCTGAGGGGTGCAACAAGAACAATGGAAGCGCCTTGTTGTCTGATACGACAAAGGGTAATTGACAGAGCTCGAAAGAGACATGTCGCGGCAGCCTGCAGCAAAGCGTCCGCTCTCCCGGACATCCCCCACCATTGGCGGGGTCAGGCAGTGGTGATGCGTCATCTCGTTCTCTCTCCCGTCTTTCCCCCCCTCAACGGCTTTTACTTTTCGTTTTTTTTTGGGTGAAGGTGCGTCTAGGTGCGTATCTGCAAGAGGTCCCACTAATAAACATATTCCCTTCGCAGCTTCTTCTCTTCGCACCAACTGCGTGACCCCCTTTCGCCTCGTTCGCTGCCTCGAATACATCCAAGACCTATCCCCTCCTCCCCATCCCCTCCTCCTCCGCCAGTGAACGTCGCCCACCCCTCAGCAAGCATACCGTCACGCTCCATTCTTCTCCAACTCATCCGATACCCTAGAACTCATCGCATCAGACTATCGCCATTGAACATTCGTCCATTGACTCGAGCTTCGTTCCGAGAAGCCGAAAGAAGCATCGCTCGGCGATGACGGGCGGCACTTCGAAAGCTTCCGCCACACCGGTGGCCGGCGATGGACCAGCTAGAGGAGATGCAACCCCACCGCACTCGATGCCCCGTTCCGTATCCTTCAAGGCTGCTCTGAACGACCCGCAGCTCAACAAATCGCTTCAGGAAGCGGCTCCTAGGCGATCCTATAACGATCCAAACAGTCCGTCCGGAACGTCGCGAATACGCTTCGAGAAGGCTGTCCGGAGGTGAGCCTTTCTTTTCCTCGAGAGTCAAGAAATGGAACGGGTCAGTCTGATCTTGGAGTCCGAATCATCCAGATACTTCTATCAGTTGTCCATCGGATGCGGGGAAGGATCGTGCAGCCACAAGCTATGCGCATCCAGCAAGCTCGGCCCGCGTCTGACAAATGATGCCGCCGCCATTATGGCGGTGCAGCTTGCTTCTCGACCAAAGCACTTTTTCTGTCCACGCATACCCTTGGAACCAACAATGGCATCCCCGTTCGCTTCTCCCTCCGCGTCTCCCAGCGCCAGTCCAAAGCCCTCCAGAACAGCTGTTTCAAAGTCGGGAAGCAGTTCGAAGGGCAAGGACGCTATATTGGCTGGGCAGCCCGTCGCTGCCCCTTCCCGTGCTTTCCTTTCATCCATGTTGTCATCTTCGCCCTTCGCCAACATCTTTTACTCTTCCCTTCCCGATCAGTCCGCGATGCGAAGGTCGCATTCGACGAGCGACATCGATGACATCCATCACGATGACAACCTGTCGGTGCCGATGTCAAGTGTCGAAGAGGTCGTGGACGTTGTGCCCGCGAAGATTCCCACACCGTCCTCGCACGGAAGAGGTCCTTTCCAGGATGGGAGCCTTCTGGGTCTGAGGTTGCTGAGCAAGCTCGGGTATGATCAGTCCGAAAAGTCAGGGCCCCCAAGGAGTCGGTCCTCCACGGACCTGCCGAGCTTGCACGCGGTGACCGGTGTGTGACCAGCTCAAGGAACCGCACAGGCAGCGAGAAAGCTTTTACTTACGTCTGAATTCGACTTTCCATAGACGCCTTGACGAGACACTCAATAACCTCTGTGCAAGCCGGCCTTTCACGCTCCAGCTCACATGCTTCGGTTTCACAACTTTCGAATGATTCGAATGCACTAGGGCAAAAGGAGTTTGCGGTGGGAAAACCACATTCAGAAACTATGGGAGAAACCGCAAATATACCAAATGCCGCGTCTTACTCCGCGGATTCCCAATCTGACGAGGAGCAGCAGCTCAGTCTCGGATACCTCACCCTCCCCCTGCTCAAATCTGCACTTGCCACTTGCGGGGCTGACATGGTCAATCAGCAGTCGGCGGATGCACGGTTTCTGGTTAACACACTCCGCACGGTCTTTTTAGATGGCGATGCTCTCAACCGGAGCTTTTTATTAGAAGGCAATTCTGGAAGCTCGAAATCACACTCTTCTGGTGTCGACCTTGACGCCGTGAGGGAGGCGTATGCGCTCATAACGACACTGCCTCGCGAGACCTTCTTGGTTCCGCTTAGTAACGCGATCGAGATCCTACTGGCCAGACTCCAGCTCAACATCGCCAAATTGCAAACCGCACCCCCACAGAACTGGCGACAGATGCTCATTCTTCTCGAGAACCCTCTTCTCAAAGACGAGAACTACCAC